TGTCAGTGGAGTGTCTGAAGGGCTCATCGATTATGAGTTTTCAGTAGGCAGATTTTAAGTGAAGTCCATGACACGTGTTGGCAATTGATTCGCTCAAATCATGAAAGAAAGAAAGTTGAAGTTTGAGACATGAAGTATTCATTGACAGAGAGATCTAAGGGTCCAGAGCAATTACAAAATCATCCTAGAATAGTATGCATGTTAAGAGGCGATTAGAGATTCACTAAACGGCTCATTAAATATATAGGAGAAATCCAAGTAAAATTTCAAATTTTATTTAAAAAAAGACAAATAAAAAATAATTGAAAGGTGTGTACGGAAGAAAATCAAATGATTTCCCTTACCAAATAGCGAAAAATATTTTTTATTTTATTTTCAGGTTTCAGCTAAACACTGAAAAATGTTATCATTTTCCTAGAAAATATTTTCCAGAAACAACATATTTTTCGCGAAACAAACGAAACCCAAGTTCTTGAAAATTGTGAAAACTTCCCCGCGTTTTAATTTCTAAAGGAAGTTAAATTTTCGATACTTTTATGAATTTGAGGTGTTTAATATTGTTAAAGATCTCAACTGAGAAAATATTTAGTGGTTTGTTAGTGCCACTTCACCAGCTAATTGGCATATATTAATGTGAGTTGGTGCAATTAAAAATTAACATGTGTCTTTAAATATACGGATTTTCTCTCTCTTCGTCTCGATCACAACCGCCGTCTCTCCGGCCACCGCCCAACTCGGCCATGTCCACCGTCTCAACCATCCACCATTGAGGGCGCAGTCACCTCCATCTTCAACACCCACTTCCCTACCATAGTTGCCACAGCATGTACCCTTCCTTCGTCTCGAACGATCATGGAGTCTCACTCCCTAGTGTCCCTTTCCATCGTCCTCCCCTTCAAGTTCCGTCCGGTGAATACCGTCTCTGACTCCACCAGCGAGTTCCCTTCCGTACAGCGCGGCCGTGACAAGTCGGAGCCATGGTCACGTCTAGATTTGGAACCGAGAAGCCATGGCAACGACAGACCTCGGAGCCATGGCTGCAACAGACCCTGGACCCATGGCTGCAACAGACCCTGGAGCCATGGCCGTGTCCAGATCTTAAAGCCTTGGCCACGACAGATTTGGAGCGTGACGGCATCCAAGTCAGATTTGGAGACACCAGCCATAAACGAGCAAGAACAACATCCTACAGAGAACTTCCAGATCTAGCAAAGACTTTTGACAGAGGCGAGCACTAAGACTATACAAACTTCCGGATTTGGAGCTTGTCCATGGGTGCGAGCCTTGAAGGCGAGGTCCATGGAGATTGTGCTGGTAGTGACAATGGAGGGAGGCGCCCGTTAACTCCGCCGTTGTGGGCTCATGGTGGCTGCAACTACAGATGGAGGAGGAAGAGAGGGATGGATAGAGATTTAAAAAAAAATTTTATCTAATTCCACATCAATATATAGATGTCAATTTTTAATTGGCTCAAAGTGAATAAATGCACGCCACGTTAGTTGGTGCCGTGGCATTCGCAAAAGCTGAACCCCAAAGCCTAATCATTCCCGTTGAATGCTAAAGGAAAAAATCACCCGGATGCAGTGATTATTTTCATGGCAAATATTCTTATGCTGAGCAATTATCACACGCTTAGGAGGATTGCTCCTAGTCCATCTCGACAACTCAAATCGAAAACCATGTATTTGATGCACGAGAATCTTAATGCATTCGACCACTCCGATGTGGTGAAAGTGATGCTCTCAAAGCATATAAAAAAAAGTTCTTGTTTTAGACAATGATACCGCTTTTCCCGTGTTAAGGATTCTAAACCCAGTCTGCCCCAGCTTCGTAGCATCGACTAGTTACGTGGCCCGCGCTTTGCACGGGCATATCTTGAAAATTCACTTTTAAATGTATTTTTATGTATGTATTATTTAGGATTGTAATTATTAATGGTAAGAAATACCGAACAAACTACATTATCGATTGAAAGTATAAATTGCGGCTTGAAAATTTAAATTCAGAGTTTGCATAAGGATGTATCGTAAAAGAATTGGAAAAGAAGATGTTGAATTTTTATTAGCTTCTTCGCCAATTTAATTTTGTTTCCTTTTAGGGTATATAAATTTCGCTTTTTTAGGTTCATGTTCTTCAAATATCGCTTTTAACCAATCTTTTGAATGGCTAAATTAATGCTTCAGATAATCTATTTCTATTCACTATTCAAACTCAGGAAAAAAGTCAAAAAACTCTTAAACCTATTGTATTAGTACCAATTTAGTTATATATTTTTATGCCAATTTAGTCCTAAACATTTTGATATAGTGCCAATTCAGTCCTTTCAACTAATTTGACAGGCTATTGCTTATGTGGACGTCGGTCGGCCTACATGGCACCGCCAGCAATAACGTTGACAATTTTTAATAATATTGTAATATTTTTTCTACTTTTTTTCTTTCTTTCTTTCTTTATTTTCCTTTCTTCTTTCTTTTGCCGATGGCTGGCCAACAGCCATAGGCAATGGCCGGGCGAGCTAGCCTTGCCTGGTGCTACCTCCCGCCACAGGCGAGGCCCGGTGAAGCTCACCAGATCTGTCGAGGGGAGCCTTTGCTGGGGCTTGCCCCCACCTGGCCAAGCCTCACCTGTGGCGGGTGACGACGATCCTCGCCTAGGCGAGGCCATCCCGTTCGGCCATGACTGGTGGCTAACCATCGCCTATGATTGCAAAAAGAAGAAGAAAGGAAAAAAAGAAAAGAAAGAAAAAAATCATAAAAAATAATTAAAAAATCGAAAAAACATTAAAATATTATTGAAAATTATTCACGTCAGTGCCGGCAGTGCCATATAAACCATCCAATGTTCATGTCAGCAATATCAGGTCAAAACTAGCTTGAAGGACTGAATTGGTAATATGTCAAAATGTTTAGGACTAAATTGGCACATAAAAAAAAGTTTAAGACTAAATTAGCACACAAAAAAAGGTTTAGAACTAAATTGACACAAATGCAATAGATTTAGGATTTTACTAACACTTTTCCCGTTCAAACTCTATTTGAATCGTACTATTTTAAATAATCAATCGATCAACAAACTAAGACATCCAAGCTTAAAATGATTCTTTTACATATCTGCTTATTTATTTAGTAGTGCTTTTATAAATGAGGAATCCTAAGGTAGATAAATAACCAACGGGTTCGTCGAACACTTTTTTCTAATCCCTTGAATTGGATATGATGCGAACCCAAAGTTTTCGTAGGCTGGATGGATGATTCAAACATGGAATTATTTGCATGTTGGCGCGATGCAGCCAGTGAGAGAATTTCGAACGTATTTCATGCAGTTAATTCTAGGTATGTATGCACATGTCTGATCGTGAATCATGTTGGAAAGCAATTAAAGAAAACTTAATGGGAGAAGCGCATGGACATGTGCTATGAAAGGCGCATTTCACCAGCTTATCATACAATACACGTTGATCAAAAAGAAGAGAAGATTCCTTCCCAAAACAGGGAACTCATGCGGAGGAGTGAAGGTGAAGGTGAAGGTGAAGGTGAAGGTGAATGTAATCATTTGTATATCTTTTGCTTAGATTCACGTGTGAGTTGTATTAGGAAAATTCTACATTAGAGAATTGGTATAGTGTAGAGGAGTTAGTGTTGGTTGTTTGTTTGTAAAACAAACAAAATAATGTTTTTTCCTTTGTCCCGCGTAGGAAAGTTTTGATAAGGTGGGCCACTTTATATGTATAAGTGTCTTCTTCCTTGTTAAAGTGAAGATAATGGGGTGTGGACTAGACTTCTCAATACCCGCGTGCGGATGCGCGATTATTTGGCGCACTAGTCCTCATTTAGTATTTTTATTTATTAAATTTCGAATTTATTATTATAAAATAACGATTTTATCCTATTGAAACAGTGCAACTGTTCGCAATAGTGTTGCGGTTATTTTTTTGATTAATTAATTTCGAAATTTATTATTTAGCCTAACGGTTATTAGGCATTCTTACAATCTTTGGAAGAATTGTGTCCCCTCGAATATAACTACTTCACCTTTGAAAGGTTGTGTCTTTTCGGACATAACTCCTTCAACGTTCAAAGGTTATATTTGTTCAAAGATTATTTTTCAGAATTTATAAAATTCGGATTAATAAAAAATGATTAAAAAATAATAATAATTAAAAAATTATTCTTTTATTTTATTATTATTTTATTCCGAATTTTCATATATCTTTTTTCAACGTGAGTTTTGATTTCGTATCAATTCACTATACATCTTTTTTACGAAGGGACATCTTTGTTCGAAAAGGTGTGATTAGTGAGTCAGTTTTTACATGGTTAATTATTAAGTCTCTTCATTCGGATTTTTAGACACTTTTTTATTCCAAAAAACTGCAGCCATTTTTTCTAATTGTTTTTCTAGAAAGACCCTGGAGATATACCGAAATTGCTATTCGATATTCTCAATCGAGACTTTGTTATATCCTGGAGGAAATTTGCCAATGACCATTAGCAACTTTGTGGGGCAAATACTTCCTTAAAGAAAGTGATATCATGCCTCAAAGTCTGACTTCGTTGTTCATACCGTTTGAAGTTGAAGTTTCTTTTCTTCTAAAGTTTGAAGGAGCATATTTTTTCCAACAGTTAGTATATCTAAATTAGCTTATAACTCATTGATTTAAGCTTTTGAGTAAATGTGGATCCAATTAGATAAGTTGACAGACTCGGACTTGGATTCCCTCTTGGTGATCTCTCAAGATGAAAGGTTCTGGGCTTCTGCTGCGCACTCCTAACAAAATGGTATTGGAGCCGATGATCGATTGGTGGGTTCTGAAGTTTGGTGGATGAAGTTAGGCGTAAAGAATACCTGGATTGAGAGGGAGATTTGTTAGGATGCACGTGACTTGAGCTCCCTCTTGGTAATCTCCCCACGCGAAAGATTTCGGGCTTCTACTGTGCGCTCCTAACATCTATATATAGCCATCCAGGTTCAGCACTTTGATACCTGTGGTGAGAGAAGAAGAGAAAGCAAAACATAACACAGAGAGAAGGAGAAGATGGGGAGCAAGAGCAGCAGCTTGCGAGTGATGACATGCAGAGGGGTGGTGTGCTGGGGAGCAGAGGAGGAATGGAGGGTGGAGGAGATACAAGTGGATCCCCCCAAGGGGAGTGAAGTGAGGATAAAGATGCTGTTCGCCAGTGTTTGCCACTCCGATATCCTGTGCTCCCAGGGTTTCCCTTCTGTTCGTTCTCCTTTCCATATCCCTCCACTTCTATCTATATCGTTCTCTCCTCTTCTGCAATATTGTTTACTCTTGTCTGATTTTGTTGGCGTTGCAGCCGCTTTACCCTCGAGTTCTCGGCCATGAAGGTGTCAGGTAAAGTCTTCTCTCTCTCTCTCTCTCTCTCTTCTCTCTTGAAGTTGCGTCTCCATGCCAAGTCTGGTCCACTGCCTGATTTGATTCCCACTAATTCTACCGTGTTAGTTATGTCAATGAGGTGTTGCATTCCTTCCCTACTTGAATATCAAGACAACCATCGGGATCGTTTCCCACTTTCTGGTTCGCCCCGAGGATAGCATCCGTCTCATTCATACTCCACATATAGCTGGATGCCTCTTGCTATAGCTCGAGGCTCCAAACAGCCATCTCCGCCTTTGGTTCCTCGAGAAATTGTTAGATCGCCCATGTCCATGGACACTACAAAAAAACATGTAATTTGCAACGGAAATTTGCGACGGAAAATATAATCCGTCGCAAATTTCGTCGCAAATTTCCAACGGAAAATTTGCGACGGTTTATTTCCATCGCAAATTTGCGATAGAATTTGCGACGGATGAAAAATCCGTCGGAAATTTGCAACGGAATTTTTATCCGTCGCAAATTCCGTAGCAAATTTGCGACGGAAATAAAAAACCGTCGCTAATTCCGTCGCAAATTTGAGACGGAAAAAAGTTCGTCGCAAATTTCCGACGGAAAAAAAAATCGTCGCAAAATCCGTCGCAAGAAAGAAGTTCGTCGCAAATTTGCAACGGAAAATAAATCCGTCGCAAAAAGTTCGTCGCAAATTTCAGACGGAAAAAAAAACCGTACCAAATCCGTCGCAAATTTGCGATGAAAACGAACGTCCGTCGCAAATTTGTAGTTTATCAGCCCGTGATATTCCAACCCTATCTCTCTCTCTCGCTCTCTCTCGCTTTTCTCCCTCTTTCATATGTCTGAAATCAGCAAAATCCGCGCATGCACATATTAATCTCGGTGAAGCTTTTGTACCGGTAAGTATCATAGCTAGCTTCGTGACTATTCATCGTTGAATTGTAATTTCTTTTATTTTATATATGTTTATGTTTGTTTTTTTTTCGTATCTGCATCACCGGTTTAACGACCGGCGACACCTCGCCGGCCTTTGGATGAGGCCGAACGGCCACGCCGTTTTGCAACGGAAATAGTTTCAGTCGCAAATTTGCGACGGAATTAACTTTCCGTCGCAAATTTGCGACAGAATCAAGGATCCGTCGCAAATTTGCGAGGGACGAATTCCGTTTCCATCGCACATTAAAAATTATTAAAAAATGATTCTTAAGTGATTATTCTTTTTGGGTATGTGTCTAATTGAAGGTCTCGCAATCCAAGTGGACGTTGCAATTCTCATCAAATTGACCACTTTCTCCTACCAATATTTCAGTCAAATATTTGGGTAAGTCTTCTTTACATGGTAATTTTTTCTATTTTTGCAATTTCATATTAATTGTTGCGTGAATAACAAAAATTATAATTTCCAAAATTTTATGGTTTTAATTAAGAACAATAGATATGATATTTTAAATATTTTACCAGAATTTTTTATTTTAATATAGACACAATGCAAAGAGAAAGGGCTTGGATGTATAATAAGAACTTACCTGGACGTCAAGGATTGACAGATGAGTTTCGTACTGGGTTGGAACTATTTTTAGACTTTGCTAGTAGTAAATATGAGTTCATGGATGGAAATAAGTTAAGGTGTCCGTGTAAAAAGTGCGGTAATGGTAAATTTCTTGTGTGTGATCAAGTTAGAGAACACCTTACTAGATTTGGGTTTAGTCCGAACTATTATAATTGGACTTCCCATGGTGAACCATTTATATCTGATGAAGGATATGGAAGAAGTGACCAATTTTCAGTTAGGGAAGAATGTGGCTATTATGAGCAATTAAACCCATACGAGAGGATGGTGATTGATGCAGCTAGTTATAATTTTGTCACAAAATCAAATCATGCAAGTACTAGTTTTACTCATACACGTGAACAAGTGGGTACTAGTTATGCTTCACAATTGGAAGATATAGGAGTAACGGGTTTTTGATGAGAATGTCTATAATGAAACTTTTCAATCTAATCAGCCTGGGATGTGTTGAAAGCAAGCAGATGAACCTTTATGGGCAGGTTGTGAGGACCACACTAAGTTATCGGTGACACCCGACTATTAAATATCAAGGCAGAGCATAATGTGTCTCATGGATTGCTTCAACTCTTTGTTGAAGTAATGCGGGAATCATTGCCTCGTGATAACATCATGCCAAGTGATTTTTATGATATGAAAAAGCTAGTGGATAACTTAGGTCTTCCGGTTGTAAGGATTGATGTATGTAGTAGGGGTTGTATGATATATTGGAGAGACGATGAAAATGCAGAATCTTGCAAATTCTGTAGCCAACCTAGGTACAAGATGAACAGGAGGCCGGGTCGTAATCAGAAACGTAGACCATGCAAGCAAATGTTTTATCTGCCCTTAATCCCCAGATTGCAAAGGCTTTATGCATCTAAAGCCATTGCTGAACACATGACTTGACATGCAAATCATGAAACAGAAGAGGGTCTAATGTGTCATCCTTCAGATGCGAAGGCATGGCAACATTTTGATAGAACATACCCTATGTTTGCGATGGAGCCTCGGAACATCAGGTTAGGTCTCTATGCCGATGGATTTGCTCCATTTGGGAAAACAGGAAAAAGTTATTCATGTTGGCCAGTTATCTTAACGCTGTACAATCTTCTACCTGGTATGTGCATGAAGACACCTTATATGTTTTTGACATTGATCGTGACAGGGCCGCAAAATCCGAAAAAGTTTATAGATGTTTATATGCAACCATTGATTGAGGAGTTACAACGGCTATGGGTTGAAGGTGTCCCTACGTATGACATTTCTACCGATCAAACATTTGTAATGAAGGCTGCCCTTCTTTGGACGATAAATGACTTTCCAGCTTACGGAATGTTATCCAGATCGTGACATCCCGAATTTCGGCCAATTTTTGGGATTTATAAAACGTGTAATCCGTCAGTGCGCTTATAATGGAATCTCGCCCGGGAACTGATCACTCTCGGGTTCTCGTTTTTAAAATAGAGATTTCGCTAGAATCGCACTCGATCGAATTTGGCCGTTATTTAGAGCCCAAACTTTGGTGTCGAATTTCTCGAGTTCCGGGACGAATTTAATTGGACGGTGTCGATATTATTGCGGCCGCAGTCGTATTACCCGAGTATGTGAAAAGTGGATTTTTGACCGGGTGCGGATTTGGACTGGTAGACCTCCCTCGTGGTGTGTTTTGGCATATTTTATTTTGGCCATTTTTCCTATATTATTAATTAGGATTATTGGGGACCGTTAGATCGTTTTCGGGTTTGAACCGTGTCCGTTGGATCGCACTCGAGTGAGAGGTTTGACTTTGAGTCTCTCTCTCTCTCTCCTCTCTCCTCTCTCCTCTCTCCTCTGCGCGCCGCGTCTGCCCCCCATTGCGTGCACGTCTCCCTCCCCCCTTCCCCATGCAACTCTCTCTCTCCTTTTTCATTTTCTTTTCTTTTCCTCTCTCTCTCTCTCTCTCTTCTCCTCTTCTTCTTCTTCGTTGGCTTCTTTTCCCCCCGACTGGTTCTGCTCCGCCGTGCCTCCTCGCCGACCGCCGTTCCGCCTCCGCCCGACGCCGCCCCACCAGCCGCTGATGCCGTTAGCCCTCCCTGCGCCGTCAAGCTCGCACTTGCCATGCCGCCCGAGAGGCCCCGCCCGACTCCTCGCTTCTCCTCCACCCGAGCGCGTGAGCTCGGCTCGGCCGTCCTCGCCGGCCGCGAGTCGCCGCCGGGCCATCGCTTAGCCGCCCCCGTCTGTCGCTGCTGGGCTGCGGCCAATCGCTTGCCGCCACCATGTCTCGGCCAGCCCGCCGCCGCCGCCCCCTTCTCGGCCCCGGGGTTTCTCTCCTTCACCTCGCCCTCACCGCCTGTGCCGACTCCTCCATCTCTCCTCCAGCCAATTGGCCGTCGCAGCTCGCCCGCCGGCCGCCGCCGCTGTGCACCGCCGCTGGCCGCACAGATCTCAGTCACTGATTCACATCACCCCAAACTCCTCCTCTCTCTCTCCCTCTCGCCCCCACCCCCGACCGACCTCCACCCTCCTACAAACCTCGTCGTCGCCGCCGCCACCACCGCTGCCGCCGTCGCCGCTGCCGCCGGCCGCCGCCCGACCAACTAGCTACCAAAGTGCCGTGGCTGGGCTAGCCTCGAGCGCCCCCGGCCGTAGCGCAGCCCCCCAGCGCCCCGGCCGTAGCCAAGCGTTGCCCAGCGCCCCGGCCGTGGCCGAGCTCGCCCCGCGCCGTGCCCGTCCGACCAGCGCTGCCGCCCGTCCGACCAGCGCGCAAGCTCCCGCGCGCCTCGGCACGCCGCACGGCCATCGCGCCTCGCGCCAGTGCACGCCGATTGTGGCCATCAGCCCGCGTTGGCCGGCCACATCACTTGCCGCTCTGCGCCCGCGCCTGGGCCCGAGATCGTTCACCCGGCCATTTTGGGCCCGAGCCGACTTTTCCCAGGCCAAACTTAGGTAAGTGACTTCCTAAACCCTACCTAGTACTTTGGGTATTTTTAGACTTGTTTAGGATGTGATTAGTATCGGGTTAGGAATTAATTTAGGCGTGGGCTAATTAGATTGAGTGTGCCCGATTTATGAATTATTGTGGTGATAATTGTGTGGCTAATATAGTGATTGACTGAGGTAAATAGCATGACTGAATTGTCGTGGCGCTTGTGGGTGAATTGGAATCAATTGAATGTGTTGACTTGAATGTCGGGTCGGTGGGCCGATGTGGGGAGCATGAATTGAGTTGACTGATGTGGCGTGCTAGATTGACATTGGTAAAAGGGTGGTGATTGAAATTGATTTATATGACTAAGAGCATGGTGAATTTTGTATTGTGGTGCATGTGCATGAGAAAAGCCCGGATCGATCGGAGGGCTGAGCTTCAGCGTATTTACGCGGCCGTGAAAGGTGAGTTAGACCCGAGGCGTAGGTTACGCGGGTCATTGGAAAGGGAAAATGTCCTGAGGCGTGGTTACGCGGGACGAAGCCCGGC